AGCTTGTCTGTTACTTTCCATATCTCTTTAGTACTGTGTCCCTGCCGCCTTCAGCATCCAGATATAATAATTTCGCCAAAGGGAAACTCTCGACAGAACAGGTCCTATGCCTCCCTTTACATCCCCATTCCTGGCGAGAATATGTGCCACTTCATTGGCCATGACACCACTGTGACCCTGCAGCAAAATGAGGAAACATGGTTACTGTATGCGATTAGTATTAAAAGATTAAGGGAGGTCAGCATTAGCTCGGAGGAAATAAATGATGCTGGAGTGACAGTTCTCGGCCAGATATAAAGCTGGGTCTTTCCGGTTATGTAGACCCGACTGTCGTAAAAGCATGTACATGTATGTTCTGTTATTGCTTTCTTAAGACAAAATTATGCTCTCCGCGGCGAGAGTCAATTGGCACAGAAGATAAGCGACTAGCGGTTACAGCGCCAAACAACAAGAAGAAGTTGGGGTCCATAATGGTTTGTTCTGTTCCAATTACTCTCCGGAGTGCGGAGTTCTAACAAATTAAAATTTAGTGTTTGTTGGACACCCGATTCAGTAGATATACATATTTAGTTCATTGGCATAAGTCTCATCCTGAAAGACATACACCCAATGTTCCGACGCCATGAGCGGAGCCAACGGTACATCCTTCCACTGTTCCTGTTGTTACTGTGCACTCTTCTTTCCCTTGTGGTATAAAACTGGAAATGGAGGAGTATGCATTAGGGTGGTGCAAAAAAACTAAGGTCGGAATTTTAAGGCTCTCACCCCCCTAGGATTGTTCTATACCGAAAAAACCGCTTTGAACTATTTTCTATAGGTCCCCAAAAAACCAAAAGTTCAATGGGGTCCATACAAAATTGTTAGTATTAAGAAGTTGTAAAATAAAAAGTTAGGTATTATTATTGGCAAGAGAAACAGGTTCTTCCGATCGAAAAATACCATTTCGACGAACATTTGATTTTCCCCCATATAAAGTTCATGGAAAACTTTGAGCGCTTTTTGATTTCGAAATAAAACAACAGGGGTGTATTTTTTTCGATGTAGAACAGTCCTAGGGAGTGAGAGCATTAAAATTCAGACTTTAATTTTTTCACATGCATTTTATGACCACCCTAGTGTACATACTAACTTCTTTTTTGAACGAATCTAGAGGCGCTTTTATAAATTTTTCGGTAACACCTACATAAATTCTACAGTACAACTTTTTTTTATTAGTTCTACTGGAATAATCGAAATACATTCTTAGCAAAATTTTAATGATTATTGGTGAGCTTAAGTTACTGACATTAGGGTAATATGAACTGAGATCTGGTGGGTAACACATGAGGCCAATGGGCTCTGTAACAAAAAGATGCCTCTTCGTGACAAAAACATCGATATATCATCCTTTAACCACCAGTTTCACCAGCGATTTAAATGAAAAAAGGATTTTTTTTCCTTCTGCCAGTTTTCATATTAAATTCAAATATAAATAATAACTTTTCACTTAAATTTGCTTTCGTGAAACTGGCTATAAGATACGACTAGCAAATGCTGAAGATATGAAAACAAATTTAAAAAGTCGACCCCCAGTTCGGAAAAAAAATTTCGAAATTGCCTTGCAAAAACCCTTCAGATTTGAAGGTTTTCGGCGGTCTTTTTTTTCGGATACGATCCTACATACATACAATGTATGTATGTACATATGTATATCTTTAATCGATAGCAGACAAAATTTTGTGTAACTTCTTGGGACAATCTCGAGCATATTTTTGATATTAGTTTGTGGATCAGGATTGTGATTATTTTTTTCCGTTTTCATGAGTAACTTTAATTGCGAGAGCCTGGAATATTGGCTTTTTGTGAATGTATGTACAAATGTACCTTGTCGCCAAAATCAGCATGAATAAAACATACCCAACTATTTAATTTTTTTACTATATTTATTAATACGAGCTATGCTTTCTATTCGAAATTGCATCTCAATTTTTTATAAATAGCAGTGTCTTTTGAAACACACATACAACATTTTATATACTTTGAGTACTGTATTGGAAAAAGGCATCATCTCAAAAGGTTTAAAAAAGTTTAATTTTCGTAAAAACGATAGGGATAAAAATATTGTCTAAAACATTGTAGTAGTAATTCTATAATTTTAAATCTGTATATCTGATGCAAGAACTTTGAACTTTGTTAATGTCACATGGAATTTGTTTTCTAAATTTTCTTTACATATACATATGTATTTCTGTACGTAGGTCTTATGAAAACATAAATAAGTGTATATGAAAATAACACAGAGTTATTTAAAATTAAAACAGCCAATTGAGAATAAATATTGTTTTTTATTACATGCATAGACATTTTTATTGCAGTTTGATTTAATAGCTCATTTCGGTATCGGTGACAATAATTTTTTTACTGACAAATTTAAATTTTTTCGCATATTTTTGCGTAAAAAAATTGTGACAAGAATTTGTCACTGATACAGATTAGGGCCGTAAAAGTATCACAAAATTTTATTAAAAAATTTGCTTAAGGTGTATAAATAAACATTACGTATTTTTTGCTTCTTGAAGGTAGTTAGCACTAAAAAAAAAATAATAAAAAAAATCTTCATAAAATAATATTTATGTAAAGGCTAAATTTTACTTTTTTGTGCATTATCGTGATTTTTTTAATTTAAATAAGTATATGTTTTTTTTTATATTATAAATTTGGTTATATCAAGCTTAATGTCAATATTTTTTTTTGCCTCTAATGTGCTTGATCGTATGTATCCTTGTGCTGATAACCGGATACGTAGCCAGATGCGTCTACTAAATCCTTGCGACCAGCAATACCTTTGCCCTTGCCTGTAGCATCGAAACGTTCCTTATGAGATCCAGTATACTTGCTGGGGTCCGTGAGACGGTTAACAGCCGATGCTGCTTTGCCGGCCTGCAGAAATAAAGAAATATTAAAGACACAGATTTTAACAAATATTACTACGAGCAAATACCCGGGGTGCTACACTGCGCCTCAAAAGTATTTTTGTGCTGTTTGATACCCGTATTGTAATATTTAATTTATCTTATTAATTTAATTTAATTTTCAAACAGGTGGCAACTTTCCTCAAAAATATTTTCGGCAGTAAACGTCCCCAAACCTCTTCAATTTGATACCCATATTGCAATTAAATTATCTTATCAATTGAATTAAATTAAAATTTTCCAACAGGGGGCAACCTTCAACAAAAATATCTTCAGCTGTAAGCTTTCTTAAACCTCTTTCTTTTGACGGCCACATTGCAATATTTGCTTTATCTTTTCAATTTACTTCAACTGCAATTTTCAAATTTTTTTTCTTTCTTTATTTTAAGTTAGACCTTTGGCATGTATTAGTTTTCGAGTAATGCGCCTACAAACGAACAGACAGACAAAAGTTTTAAAAATTGTTGATATGGCTTCTGTATTAATTTTTCTTTAAAATCTATATTGTAAAGACGTCGGCCTGTATTCTATACATATAATGTATACAGTTTTCTCCGATGTATTGCTAGAGGTCTAACTTAAAATATAGAAAGAAAGAAATATAATAAGAGTTGCCACCTGTTTCAAAATTGCAGTTTAAGTAAATTGATAAGAAAAAGTAAATATTATAACATGGTTGTCAAAAGAAAGAGGTTTAAGAAGGCTTACAGCAGAATTTTTTTTGATGGTTGCCACCTGTTTAAAATTTTTTATTTAATTAAATTTAAAAAAAAATTGAATATTGCAATATGGGTATAAAATTGAAGAAGTTTAGGAAAGTTTACTGCGGAAAATTTTTTAGAGGGGGACTACCTCCTGTTTGAAAAATTGTATTAATTTAATATGAAAAAATAAATGAAATATTACAACACGGGTATCAAACAGCACAAACATACTTTTAGGGCGCAGTGAAGCACGCTGGGTATTTGCTAGCATATACGATTATTTTTTAAATTTCATCTCAAAAAATTATACTAAATAAGGAGTAAACCAACATTTGAACCAGGGATGTTACGAATGTTATACAGTGGCGGCAGAAATAATAGACTCGCTTTACTTTGGGGATTTTTTGCTATTATTCCATGGTTTATTTTATGTTTAATATTGCCTGATTAGCCCTCAACAAACACCATATAAATCCCCTTTTCAAACTTTATACAAAAATTAAATAAATTCGCCAAATTTTCACCAATTTTTTAAACTTTTTACTAAAAAAAAATCTTAAAAATCAACGGTATTTTGTAGCCAATTCAAACTTGCACTTTATACTAAAATTAAATGGGCTAAGAAACTGCATACCTAAAAATTCTGATTAAAAAGTTTGAAAATTTGGTGAAAATTTGTCAAATTTTTATAATTTTTGTTCAAAGTTTGAAAAGCGGATTTAAATGATGTTTGTTGCATAACTACTTAGGCTTTTATAAAAAAAATATTAAACATAAAATAAGCTAAATAAATACAGCCAAAATTCTTAACAGTACGATGAGTCTATTATTTCTGCCGCCAGTGTATTTTTCAAAAAGAGAAAAAATTATTTGTGTCTCCATAGCTTTGCCAATTGTGGGAGTAGCTCAGGCAAATACTTAGTACTTATGAACTTTTTTTGAATCACAAATCAACAGACTGAGGCTATGTATAAATTTCTCAGCGCAGTTCGTAAAATTCATAATTTTCTTATTTACTAATCTTCATTCCTCGTTGTTAAGGTCACTCACCGATACTTGCACAACACCAGGTGCTCCGCAACCGGCCATTTTCTTTTTTATATCGCTTAATTCAACTTTTTTCGCCTTCGCCAATTCATCAAGGAATTTATTATAATCTGTATAAGAGATTTTCATCGCTTTGAATTTCTTAAAATGTATGCCCGTATCAGTGGTGGTGATCTTCTTGTCGATCACCTTAGCTTGCTTCATCCACTTATCACTCTGCGATAATGTAATCAATTTGCCATCTGATTTTGTATCACCAAATTTGGAGAAGGCTTTGAATTGATCTTGAAAACTGACTTTTGGTTCATCTTCCAAAGCCAATTGTGCGATCTCGGCAACTGGTGGCTCTGCGGGGGCGGGTGATGAACTACCACCATTTGTTGCTTCCGCTGACATAGTGGATCTGGAGAAAAAGAGACGGGGATGCAAATTAAAATTGGTGAACAAAACTTGGGGGCTATAAAAAAAAAAAGAATTTGCATTTTTTGTTAAAAAATAGGTGACTGGCTTCAATTTCATGTTCAATGAAATTGCTTCTGTGTGTGTATTTCGTATTTTTCCTACTCGCTGTAGTTCATGTATTTGGTATTTTCTCTCACCTGCGTGCCACTATAGATGCAAGCATTTCGGGTAAAAGGAGATGACCCTGCGGTTAATGTAATAATTTCTATGTATGAATGTATGTATGTCTTCTAACTTTTGTATACGGGGGAATATCCTCTCCAAAAACACACGCAATCGTTGCTTGCTAATTATAATCTAATTTTAAACCATAGAAAATCGAGCGTGTGGACATACATAATGTACGTACATATGTATTTTTATTATTATCGTCCCGTCACTTTTGTAATGCATTGACCACAAAATCGATAGCAGACAATTTTAAACGCGCATTCCGAAAAATCAAGTTTTTATATTAAAATTCCCAACCCCTATCTGCCTATACACTGATTCTATTTAACAAATGAACTGGAATAACAATAATTTCTACTGTATAATGAAAGTTGGATTTCGTTTTATTTTTTTGTTTTGTATTTCAGTCATTGCAGTCTTTTTTTTTTTTTTAATATGTATTAGCATTTTCGCTTGCGTCTTAGCTTTGTTTCGTTGCTTTCGCTTGCTCTTATCTGATAATATGCGTCATATTTAGTTCATAATTGCATTGCAGGCTTTCTTGAAATATTAAAATATTATTATTTGTTTTTCAATCTCGTACCTTTTTTGTGTGCATATGTATTAGGGATGTTAATCCCGGGATCCCGTGATCCCGGCCTTTTTTAAGTCCCGAAAATCCCGGGATTATTTGCCACGAATCCGGGGATTTTCGGGATTTGTAATTTGCAATGGTGGCAATAATAGAAACGCCTTATATTGCCCAGTTTTTGCTATATTTCTTTTGTTTATTTAATATTTAATATTTTTTATAAATGTTATTATACATACACATAACACACAAAAATCAATATAATAATATTATGACCTCTCTGCACCTGCATACCTATATGCTGCAGAATAGGTAAGTCTTAATTTGTGGATCTTGATGGCAACTAAATCGCAAAACACGTGGTTCAACGGAACCTGTAGGGTGCATAGCCAGCCTTTCTGAGAGTACAGTGCTACCGAAAGGCAATGATGAAGGGGATATGTATAGCTCCCTATTGGTAAGCTTCTGAGGACATTTTATTCTTAATGGACCTGAGGACTGAGAGACGATGGTTCCGGGTGCAGAAGTTCTGGCATTTGGGTAAGGTTTTTGATTGACATTCACGATTCTTTGCATCGGTTTAAACAGCTCATGACTTCCGATTTTCACACCAAGTAAGCTCTGGATAGCAACCAAATAACCGTTTAGGAGAGATGTGAAAAGGCAAACCCCCAGAAATGAGTTGTGCGCTAGGCTTGGCACCAGCGACGTAAGAGCAAATTTCAATGAAATAAAAAGTTAAGCCTCGGATGAGACCTTTTTCTATTGATGACACTTTGATAAATATAAAGGACTACGGTTTGAGGGCATTCACCTGGAATGTCCAGACCGTTAACGGGAAAGGTGTCTCTGCCTGGTACGTTGATGTTGTTGAGAAGACATAGAGCGCGATTATCCACGAACCTGTACTCAGCGTACTATAGCGTAGAAGTGCGTAGAAACATATCAAACTTGCGGTTTTAAGCGGGAGAGAGGTGGGAGAAGAAGCGACAACGTCGCGGTCATGCCGTGGTGAGTTTTTGTTAACACGCAAATCTCATAAGATAGGTCGAGTGAACTACCCTGGTCTCCGAATTTCAAAAGTTTGCATTATCCTGGTTCGAGCAAAATTCGAATGGCAAACCTCCGAGTGTATTTCCGTCATGAGGAACCTTATTTAAGCCATTTGCCGTTCGGAGTCGGCAGAAACCTTTAGATCCCTCCGTTTGTCTGACAACATCAAGTTCAATCTACACATCTACACATCAAGTTCAAAACACACAAATGTATTTCAGAAAAGGCCAAATGAATTTCAGAAGAACTGAAATGTATTTATGAAAACCTCAAATATATTTCAGAAAGGGTCAAATGTACAATACATTTGCGTTTTTCTGAAAATCATTGGAACTGAAATACAATCGTGTTTTTCTGAATTTCATTTGGCTTTTTCTGAAATACGTTTGAGCGTTTCTGAAATACATTTGCCCTCTACTAAAATACATTTGAGTTTTTCTGAAATTGATTTGGCCTCTTCTGAAAATTCATTTGGCCTTTTCTGAAATACATTTGTGTTTTTCTGAAATACTTGTAGGTTTTCATTAGAAAGCAGATAAATTTGAAAAGCTACTTGAGAAAACGGCCCTAAGATCTGTTAATTTTGCTGTTGTTCGAAAGGCCTGGATATATTTTTATTTTTTTTTTCATAAATCATAAGAAAATCAATGAATGAAATTTCGGTAAATTTTTTCTTACAAGAAATTTTTTTCCTGCCATTTAAAATATTCTCACAAAAATCCATTCGTTATTCGGAAGTGGAATAAAACTGTAGAATACTGTCACATTAAAGCGCTCAGTCGTCCTTTCTCTTTTTTACTTTGCAATTTGTAAACATACTACATATGTAGCTTCACACAAACCCTTCTTAAATTTATTAATTCTCAGTCGTCTGTAAAATTGAACGTCAATACAAAACAGTCGTAATCTCATTCTTACATTCAGCAAAGCAACTGAAGGCAATTAATTTTGAGCTGATTAAGTTAACATTCCCCTCTTCGAGAGAAAAAAAAAATCATTATCATAAGCGTCTGCCAAAATTCGTTTTGTATTTGCTGTCGTTCAGTTTAATGCGCAGCCGCTTGAACAGAACGCGGGATACAGCATCGTGCATACTTGTGTTTTAGTATGTTGATAAGTTTTTAAACGGAGTTTTGTTGAAGTCATTCAGTTATACATACATACTCAGTATGTACATACATATCTTTCTGTTGTTTATGTTTACTTTAACGCGCATTGAAATCCATTAATTTTGGTAATCATTTTGGTTGAAATAAATTACAATACCTTGCTACTGCAATTCAACGGATTTGTAATCATTTTTCATTACATGTCGTAGATAAATTGCTGTGAACTCTGCAAGAAAGTAAAGGCTCTAGGATATTCGATTCGATACTGAATTAGGCAGTTTGAAATGTTGTTTTACATATATGGTTTTTGTTTGGACAATGTTTTTATAAAAACGTGTCAGTTGTTTGCATCATTATACATATGTCTGTTTTGGAATATACTTAGGTAAGAGCTTTCGACTAAGGTGTATTAAATTGAACGAAGAATATTTTAATAAGATATGCAATCGTTTCGTTGATAAAAAATTTTACCTTAAAATTATCTGAATGCTAGGTCATCAGAAAAAAGTCGACACTGATCGCTACTAAAAAACTTTTTTTTTTATCAATTTCAACCTTTCATTTATAGAAAATATTTTGAAGAAATTGTGAGTATTTTATAAACCAGAAAATGGAATCCATTTAAGTCCACCTTTCGTAATACAGGCAAAGCGAGACTTCATTGCAGTCGAGAATCTTATTATTGTATGTAGAGATATAGCCAATCGCACCTCCACATGCCATCTCTTCCTGTGTAGCACCTTCAACTACATATTGTTTACAGTTCATCTTATGGGTAGGTCAAGGTCGCAACGGCCTTAAAACACATTTTTTTTATCTGCTCTATAGCGATTGCCGTATACACATCTGCATTTGGACATATGCATGTATTCACAAAGTGGCATCATTCAATTGTAAACAAAGAAGCAACACCCAAAAGTCATAAAAATAAATTGTAAATAAAGGAAAGAAATGTCAATAGCGAACATAGAACAAGCGAACGCGAGTGAGAAAAGCGCTCACCCACCCACAACCCACCCAACTCATTGCAACCACATGCCGTCAATGTGGCTGACATCAATTGTAGTAGATGTGGCTGAAATGAGAGTACATACATACTAAATATTATTACTTCCATTGCAAAACTGAAATTGTAACGCACTTGTATGATGTAGATGTTACAATTTCATGGTTACAGTGTATTTACATAGGGGTTTTCATTTTCATCGCTTCGGCGGCAGAACTGTGCATTTGCATTTTTTTTTAAAAAAAAAAAAAAAAAAAAATACAGAAAAAATGCACAGTTCTGCCGCCGAAGCGATGAAAATGAAAACCCCTATGTAAATACACTGTAACCCATGAAATTGTACACATCTACATCCATACAAGTGCGTTACAATTTCAGTTTTGCAATGGAAGTAATAATATTTAGTATGTATGTACTCTCATTTCAGCCACATCTACTACAATTGATGTCAGCCACATTACGGCATGTGGTTGCAATGAGTTGGGTGGGTTGTGGGTGGATGGGTGAGCGCTTTTCTCACTCGCGTTCGCTTGTTCTATGTTCGCTATTGACATTTCTTTCTTTTATTTACAATTTATTTTTATGACTTTTGGGTGTTGCTTCTTTGTTTACAATTGAATGATGCCACTTTGTGAATGTGTGTTTATGTATATACATATGTACAAATGCAGATGTGTATACGGAAATTGCTATAGAGCACATAGAAAAAATTGTGTTTTAAGGCCGTTGCGACCTTGACCTACCCATAAGATGAACTGTAAACAATAGTTGAAGGTGCTACACAGGAAAAGATGCCGTGTAGAGGTGCGATTGGCTATTTCTCTACATACAATAATAAGATGTTCGACTGCAATGAAATCTCGGTTTGCCTGTACTATGAAAGGATTCCATTTTCTGGTTTATAAAATACTCACAATTTCTTCAAAATATTTTCTATAAATGAAAGGTTTAAATTGATAAAAAAAAAAGTTTTTTAGTAGCGATCAGTGTCGACTTTTTTCTGATGACCTAGCATTCAGATAATTTTAAGGTAAAATTTTTTATCAACGAAACGATTGCATATCTTATTAAAATATTCTTCGTTCAATTTAATACACCTTAGTCGAAAGCTCTTACCTAAGTATATTCCAAAACAGACATATGTATAATGATGCAAACAACTGACACGTTTTTATAAAAACATTGTCCAAACAAAAACCATATATGTAAAACAACATTTCAAACTGCCTAATTCAGTATCGAATCGAATATCCTAGAGTCTTTACTTTCTTGCAGAGTTCACAGCAATTTATCTACGACATGTAATGAAAAATGATTACAAATCCGTTGAATTGCAGTAGCAAGGTATTGTAATTTATTTCAACCAAAATGATTACCAAAATTAATGGATTTCAATGCGCGTTAAAGTAAACATAAACAACAGAAAGATATGTATGTACATACTGAGTATGTATGTATAACTGAATGACTTCAACAAAACTCCGTTTAAAAACTTATCAACATACTAAAACACAAGTATGCACGATGCTGTATCCCGCGTTCTGTTCAAGCGGCTGCGCATTAAACTGAACGACA